CTCAGTTTCCTCATCTGTAAAATGAGCCAGAGAAGGAAATGGCCAACCGCTTCAGTATCTCTGCCAAGAAAACCCCAAATGGGGTCACGGAGGGGCAGACATGACTGAAATGACTGAACATCAGATCACCCCCTAGGACTGTTGTGAGGGAAGCATCGCGTGCACGTTACAGCATGACAGAAATGGGAGCTATCGTCGGCCGCGGTAACAGCATCGTAAAGTTGGCGAAGCGCTTCACAGACATTCCCTCGCTTCATCCCCGTACCAGTCCCAGCAGGCAGGTGCTGTTATTGTCCCCTTTTACAGTTGGGGAAACTGAGGAAAACAGGTGAAGTGGCTTGCCGAGGGTCCCAGAGCTAGAAAGCGTCTAAGGCTGCATTTGAACCCGTCTTCCAAACTCTACAGTGAGTGGTCTCAGAGTCCCCTTCTAGTTCTGAACATTCTAACATCTGTGGGACAAGAAGAGAGGGCTGCTTATTTGTAGATACTAGTACAGCGGTCTGTCTGCCCACGCTGTTTTCGCCTCCTTGGGAAGGACCAGAGCATCGCAGACCTGCATTTATTGTCTGCATCGGGATAAAGAACTCAGGGGCATTCCAGTGCTGCTGAGCTGAACCAGAGGAGACTGTCCGTCCGCCGCACCGGGTGAGCGGTGGAGAAGGCTCAGGAGGAAAGGGGACCCCGCGAGTCCTCCAGCTTGTATTGTTTCCTCTGTGCCGGGTACCGTACTGAGCGCTGGGAATACACAGAGAGCAGAGAAACAGCCCCTTCCTTCGAGGAGCTCCCACGGCCATGGAAGAGACTGGGCAGGTGGCCCCTAATGCAGAGACCCCACCCCCACCCCAGCACATGCACAGAAACGCTGCAAGATAAACCATAAGGACGTTTGGACGGAAGACCGTTTGTGGATGCAATTGGGGAAGTCCTGCCTGCCCTTAAGTGATCCCAAGCTGCTAGCTCTCTGACACCCAGACCTCTCTTAATGCCAGTATTCTCAGTAAATGCTCTATGACCATGAAACACGGAGCACCACAATTTCTGAACAATCCGGATTTCAGGAAAGCCACACCAAGAGCACGGGAGCTTCATGCATGAATGTCACCAGAAGCATCTCCCCAAAGTGCGTGATCAGAAAAGGAGGCGGGCCTGAGGGACAGCCTTTAGGAAGAAAGGCCTCCCACACTGGGAAGACCCCTTGCGGAGGACTGATAGATGCGAGGATGTGGATGAAAATGACGCAGCTTAACGGGTGTGTGTGGGCGGGCAAGGCCATCACAGAGCCTTCAGAGGACTGGTAGCCAGGGAACACCCGATTCCAGCTCAGTAGGGACGGTACTAGTTACAAGTAAGGCTCATTGCCATGTAACGGTGACTTCACACAGCTGCCTTCTTGGGCTTGAGGACAAGGGGATGTGGACAGCGTGGCTCCACACACCTTCCTCCCATCCCAGTTCAGAAGTCGTCTCCTTCCCTCCCAGACCAGACGACTGGCCCAGGCTGTGGGAGGCGTGTGATGAGGTTGGAGAACATGGGCTGCTACAGCCAGAGGGGGCTTTCCTTGGTGAATCGCTCCAGGCTCCACTCAGGGCTTACCCCCTCAAAGGAGCCTTTCCTGATTGCCTCTCCCTCTCACCCCAGCTTCCAGGGCAGCGTTTCTTTACCTTTCTTGTGCCCTGGACCCCTTGGCAGTCACTCGGGTGAGGCCAATAGACCCCCTTCTACAATCTTTTAAAATGTATACTGTATATATATACATATATATAAAAATTTATATTTATATTGTATTTATATACATTTATATATTGAAATAGTTTAAAAAATTAAAGTTCACAGACCCTGGGCTAAAAACCTCTATCCTGGCTACTAATGCTTGCCCCCTACTCCAATGAAATAAGTCTATCTTTTAAAAATACTGCATACTTAGTAGACTGTAACTTCTTGGGGCCTGGGACAATCTCTAGTTAGCTTTGCACTCCCAACACTAGCCCAAGGTCTTGTATGCTCCAGGTGCTTAAGAAATGCTTGTTGAACTGACTCAGAGGTCACTTACGTGATCCTCTGTGGTTAGCAGCAAGGTGGCTTAGGGAGGCTCAGATGCAGCAGGCCCCTGAGCTGGGATGCCAGTCCAGGGCCTGGGGCTCCTTTACAACCCGCACTGTCTCCTAACTGGACAGTTTTCAGCCCGTCCATTCACTATTGACTCGTACTTATTAAGCACACGTTACACGATGACGCCCTTCACATGCTCTCGGCACATTCCTCGTGGGGAGAGGTCTGGGAATCTGCATCCATAATGCACAGTCCTGCACTCTGGCTACAGCTTGGGGAAGGGGGGAATGTTTCATTCTGATTTTCACTGCTGACTCCACACAAGGCCATGAGCTGATGATGGGAGCACATGTGGGAGGACAGGGCAGGGTCCCAGGCCACCAGGACCAGCTTGTGTGCTACTCTCTAAGCGAGCCGAGCAGGACCCAATGGGGCAGACTGGTCTTTTCAGATACGCCCACGTGCCCAGAGAAATTCTAGAAACGGGCAGACATGTGGTCCAAGAGAAAACCTGGCCCAGCATTTGCAGAGCCTCTTTGCAGTGACTGCCAGCAAAAACACAGGTGTCAAGGACTTCAGGCCCCATCTGTGAAAAGGAAGAGAGTCTCATGCTGGTCTGACCAAATGGAATTCCTCCTGAGGCCCATAAACAGATGGAAAGCTCATCGCATGGATGTGGGTGAGCCTGTGCCGAGACAGACCGGGTGCTCGACACACCAAGGGAGGGGCATCTTTGGGCTTCTCATGGCCCCGCTGGCAATCCTTTCCTCTCTTTTTAATTTTTTTTCCACTTCATAGCATTTTATTTTTTTAAATTACATGTAAAGATAGTTTTTAACATTCATTTATAAGATTTTAAGTTCCAAATTTTTCTCCCTCCCCCTCCCTAAGACAGTAAGCAATCTGATATAAGTTATACATGTACAATCATGTATCATTTCCACATTAGTCATGTTGTAAAAGAATCAGAACAAAAGGGGAAAACCATGAGAAAGAAAAAACAAAAAACAACAACAAAAAGTGAAAATAGTCTGCTTCCATCTGCATTCAGACTCCATAGTTCCTTCTCTGTATGTGGATAGCATTTTCCATCGTGAGTCTTTTGGAATTGTCTTAGATCCCTGCATTGCTGGGAAGGGTTAAATTTATCAATATTAGGCATCACACAAGGTGGCTGTTTCTGTGTATAACGTTCTCCTGGTTCTGCTCGCTTCACTCAGCATCAGACCATATAGTTCTTTCCAGGTTTTTCTGAAGTCAGCCTCTTCATCATTTCTTACAGCACAATGGTATTCCATTACATTCATATACCACAACTTGCTCAGCCATTCCCCATTGGATGGGCCTCCTCTCGATTTCCAATTCTTTGCCACCACAAAAAGAGCTGCTATAAATATTTTTGTACATGTGGGTCCTTTTCCCATTTGTATGATCTGTTTGGGATACAGACCTAAAAGTGATATTGCAGGGTCAAAGGGTATGCACAGTTTTATAGCCCTTTGGGCCTAGTTCCAAATTGCTCTCCAGAATGGTTGGATCAGTTCCCAACTCCACCAATAATGCATCAGTGTTCCAATTTTCCCACATATTCTCCAACATTTATCATTTTCCTTTTCTATTAGCCAATCTGAGAGGTGTGAGATGGTACCTCCAAATTGCTTTTATTTGCATTTAATCAATAGTGATTTAGAGCATTTTTTCATATGACTATAGATGTTATTTTTTTTATTTTTAGGCAATTGGGATTAAGTGACTTGCCTAGGGTCACACAGCTAGTAAGTGTCAAGTGTTTGGACTGAGGCCAGATTTGAACTCAGGTCCTCCTGACTTCAGGGCCCGTGCTCTATCCACTGTGCCACCTAGCTGCCCCTTAATTTCTTCTTTTGAAAACTGCCTGTTCATATTCTTTGACCATTGATCAATCGGGGTATCCTTTCACTTTCAGAGTGGGTATGTTAGGGATGAATCCTTTTCATCATGGCCTCCTGGTGAGGTCTGAAGCTCATGGAGCCCTTCTCAGAATGTTTTTTTAAATGTGTACAACAATAAATAGGGTCACAAAGGAAACCAATTATGTTGAACCAGTTGCCCCAATTTTTTTTTTAAGGTTCAGAGATGCTAGGTTAGCAACCACAGTCTATGGGAGAAGAGGCAGTGGACTCACCAGCTGGGCAGTGTGACCTCGGCGATGTTACTTAACCTTTCCCTGCCTGCATTTTCTCTTCTAACCCTTGCACTGCCGAGCTGCCAGGTTGTTTTGAGGATCAGCTGAGACAGAACACTGAGGTGATGGGGTGCTCTGGCCCCACAGAGAGGGGATTCCCTAGTGGCCACAGCCTGAAGCATCTTTCAGGAGCGCTGAGTCTCCAGCTATTGTTTCCCCTCTTTTTCCATTCTGTCCCCTCTGTGCCTGACATGTACCCACTGGCATACCCAATCCTTAGCACTCAAAGGTTTGCTGATCCGTGGTCCACAATGCAGGGTGCCTTGCAGTGTCCTCCTATGTGAAAAGAACGGGCCAAGGCAGCCGTGTGACAGCTAGAAGCAAAACTATTTCTTAAAAAGTCACAGTAGAAAAATACCTTCAGAAATTCTTTAAAGAAAGTGTAACAGGCCAGGGGCGACAGCTCCATTTTCCTTGCAAGGAAAAAGAGCCCAGACAGCCAGCTTCCCAAGCAGGCAGGCTTAGGACTCGTGAGCCATCGATCCATCCATGAAGGTCCCAGCAAGTCTCTTCTGAGCAGTAGGACACTTGAGGTGTCCTTGGTTTGAGTTTTTTCCTTTCACAATAGGAAGGCTGCCTTCCGCCTCATTGCCCTTTTTGTGACTTTAGAAACCTCAGGTTTCTTGACTTTATTCTTATAATTCCCCACCCTTCCTTCCAGAACTCTGTGCTAGGAGGAAAAAAACCCAGAAAACAACCCAACGACAAACAAGTGTGAACACAGCTGTGATAAAATGGTGACCATGTTTATTAGCCTCTCAGGTATCAGACAAGCTGCTCAGACAAACTCAGGACCAAAAGGAGAGTCATGACTAGTTCTGAGGAGGTCCCTCTTGAGACATGGTGCTGCACAGGGTTCGCACCAGCTCCTTCTGGGCTGGGCGGACATTTTCTCATGAACAGAAAACAGGGTTATGTTTGGCTAGGCTGCCGAAGATCCAGAGACCTAGCCTAATGTTGGCAGAACCCGGTGAGAGGCCTGCCTACAAGGGGACCAAGGGCTCCTCCCTTCCCCTAGGTGCTCCTCCATAAGGGGGAGGATAACAAGCAGAAGAGCAAGGCACTCTCTCCCACCCAGTCTGGAACGACCCTGTGGCTTGGTCCTGGCACAACTCCCTGGCTATGGGGCCGAGACCCAGAAACGTCGGCTCATCTGGCTGTGAACATACCAAGAAAAGAAGCTTCCCTGGCCAGTGATCCACACTGTCTGGCCTAAATAAGCTAGTGGAATTGGGAGCTGAAAGCTAACTCCACAACTGCGGACAACTTTGTGTCTGACACGCACACCACGTGGGACCTTCCCCAAGACTCAAACCAGAACGACAAAAATACATAAACTCACGATACAAAAGAGCTGATCGGATTTTTGAAAATTCCCCAAACATGCGGCTTAAGAGCGGAACAAGCAGAAACTGATTCTAAGCATTCAAAAGTCAAACACAAAACTGTGATCCAACCCAGCGTGTGCTCGCTCATCCAGGCAGCCTTATGACGTTCAGCATAAAAGACACTCTCTTGCTGCGTGCTTACGTGAGGTTTAACACTTCATTCAAACTCCAGCAATGGAGGGCAGACCACGCGTTCGCAGAAACACTATTTCTTATGTTATACAGTGTAAAAGAGAAAAAACATTTTTTATTCATTATTATACTTTTTCTTCGACAAGTACAGATGTGTGATAGAGGCTGTGGCAACGTCTTGGAGGAATTAAACCAGGTGATGCTTCATTCAAGCCTGAAACAGAAAAGGAAGAACTGGGTTAGGAGGGGGCCACGGATCCCCGCAAGAGTCACCTGCCTGTCCCCAACCCCTTCCTTCTGCCACGTGCGTGGCCTGTCTCGTGGCAAAGGCAGACAGTATTATCATTCCCACTGGACAGTTTGTCCCAACCTAGATTCAAACCTAGTTGGGAAGAAAACAAGATCGGAATAATTGAGTCCAAAACAGTCCAATGTGGAATTCTGCAAAATATTCACATCCGTGGATCTGGAGATCCCATTCCATATACCCTGGGATAGTCTAAATCAAGCACTGATTAGGGGCCTCCTGTGTGTCTGGCATAAGTGCTGGGGAAACAAAGAAAGTAAAAAACATGGGCCTTGTCCTCAAGAAGCTTCCGTTCCGATCGGGGAGACGAGCAATTATCTGTGTACAGACAAGGTATACACAAGACAGAAACTTCTACTCTGCTTGCCTCCTGGTTGAGGATGTTGCAGTGGGGCTTTTTGGGCGACTGGGCTGGTCGCTGAGGTCCCCTCCAACTCTCAAATTCTGCGATCCTTCAACTGTGAAGGATTCGGATGAGCCATGAAGGGAGCAGGGCAGCAAGTGAAATACTGTATGCAGCAACTACAGCAAAGTAATGGAAAGACTGAAACAGCAGGACCTTGTCTTCTGATGGCCCACCAGATAGCGGAACACCCACCCCCCTCTTCTGTTCTTGAAGCAGAGGAAGTCGGGGGTGGGGCACAGGGCATGCCGCATTTAGAGGTACAATGTGTTGGTTGTTTTTTGTTGAAAAATCCTTGTTCTAAGGCATGGCTCAGTAGAGGGGAATATGATGGAAAAAAATCAAAGACTTCAAAATTTAAAGATGCACAGCAAGCAGTCTCCTCCCGCAGAGATGGAGGCCCGCGTCCAGGTGGGTGTGGGTGAGCCTGGCTGCCGGAGGCTGGGAAGCAGAGGGTAAGAAGCCTCGGCCTCAGTGCTCGGCTGCCCCAAGCCCCTAGAGATGACCCGCCTGCTCCATCTTTCCTTCCTGGTGGCATGTGATCAGGAGACAAGGTCAAGGGACCACGTGAGAAACAGGCTAGAACGCCGGGCAAGGCAGGAGTCAGGAAGACCTGAATCCACATCCTCCATCAGACATTGCATGACACCGGGCAAGTTGCTCAGATCAGCCTCAGCATCCTCATCCATAAAACGGGGATGAGAACAGCACCGACGTCCAGGGTGACGGTGAGGACCCAACGAAATAATACTTACGAAGCTCTCTGCAAACCTTAAAACGCTGACTGTGAGAGCATTAGCTCTTAAATGACAGGAACAATAACAGAGCTGACAACGTAAATATGAGACATCAAATCATACGGTGCGCGGCCAAGATGGTAATTAGAGGCAAATTCACATCGAAGGACGCTATGATGAGGGACAAAATCTGAAGTTTCACTTACAGTTTAAGGAGTCAGGAGATGAACGCATTAATACATCAAAACAAATCATCGGAATAAAGGAAAACAAAATTGAACATCACAGGGCCACCCAAGTGTCTGAAACGGGATCTGAACGGAGATCTTCCTGCCTTCCAGTCCAGCGGGCTATCCACTGGGACACTCAGCTGCCTGTAAAGAATCAGGAAAAGAGTACGTATGCCAGGACTGCAAGCGTGTCAGTCAGTCAATGTGCATCAATTAAGCGCCTACTATTTGCCAGGCGCTATGCAAAACACGGGATACGAAGGCAAGAGTCCCTTCTCTCCAAAAGCAAGAAAGATGCACGGTTGTGGCAGTGGTTGTCTGTCCTTCTCAGAGGACCAAAAGGACATCCAGGTACAAAGTCTGTGTCTGACTGGCTGATCAGACCAGGAGGAGCTCGAAGCCTCTGACACGGGGCGGGTACTGGTCTGTACGACCATTTGCAGTAGAGGTGTCTCTAGGTCTGTGCATCTCACTTCTCTTTTGGGCCACTGCAATTCTGTTTCCCTTGGAGAGCACGGCGCCTTCTCTGACGCAGGCATGCCAGGCAGGGCAGTCCTGGGCCACTGTCTCCTGTGTCTCCCAATCGATTCCAGAGTTCTTCAGAGACCTCAGGAGCTCCTCGAACCGCTTCTTCTGACCTCCATGTGAGCGCCTGCCTTGTGTGAGTTCTCTGTAAAGTAGTCTTTTAGGCAAGCGCACGCTTAGCATTCAGACGACGCGGCCAGCTCATGAGAGCCCTGCTCTCTACAGCAGAACTCGAACTCTTGGCAGTTTAGGTCAAGAAGGACCTCAATGTCTGGTTCCTTATCTGGCCAGGTGATCTTCAGAATCTTCCTAAGACAAATGGAATTAATTCCATTTCCTGGCATGGCGCTGGTACACTATCCAGGTTTCATAGGTATACAACAACGAGGTCAGCACAACAGCGCTGTAGACCTTCAGTCTGGGAGGCAGTCTGATACCTCTTCTCTCCTACAGTTTCCCTTGGAGCCTCCCAAACACCGGAGCTAGCTCTGGCAGTGTGTGAATCAATCTCATCATATGTGGGTATATCCCTGGAAAGTACACTACCCAAGGTAAGTGAACTTACTACCCATAGCATTCAAAATTTCTCCATTTGCTGTAACCAGTGATTTCACGTATGGATGGTATCGTGCTGGCTAGTGGAGAACCTGTATTTTCTTGGTGTTAATTGTTAGGCCAAAATTAGCACAAGCTACAGAGAACAGATCCATAATTTGTTGCAACTCAGCTTCAGAGGCTGCATCGAGCGCACGATCATCTGCAAACAGAAAAGCATGCACCAACTCTCCCTCCACTTTGGTCTTGGCTTGTAGCCTTTTCAAGTTCAATAATTTACAGTCAGTGCAGTGACTGACCTAGACGCTGTTTTCATCCTTGTTGAAGGTGTCTGACAACACTACCGAAAACAACATGTTAAAAAGCATGGGAGGGGCAGCTAGGTGGCACAGTGGATTCAGGAGGACCCGAGTTCAAATCCGACCTCAGACACATAACACTTACTAGCTGTGTGACCCTGGGCAAGTCACTTAACCCCACTGCCTAGCCAAAAATAAATAAATAAATGAAAAACCATGAGGGGAAAGAAAAAACCAAAACCAAAAACAACAACAACAACAAAGCATGGCAGCAAGCACACAGTCCTGCTTCTCTCCACTGGTGACTGAGAAAGCGTGAGGGCACCGTCCATTGTCCAGAACCCCGTCAAGCATGCTGTCATAACACTGACGTACGATACTGATGAACTTCTCCAGGCAGCCACGTTTCACCACAGTTTTCCATAAGCCCTCACAACTGCCAGTATCAGAAGCCATGGTCAGATCAAGGAATGTTGTGTGCAGACCTCTGTTCTGCTCCTGGCATTTCTCCTGGATTGTCGGGCAGCCAAGGCCGTGTGGACCATTCCCCAGCCCCTTCTGAAGCCACCCTGGCTCTCAGGTAGATGACCATCTTCCAGGCGAAGAACAGCCTGTTAAGGAGGACTGTAGCAAGAATCTTGCCAGCAGTGACCAAGAGAGAGGCCACCCCCTTCCGACTGTCCCAAGACAATCTATTTCCTTTACCTTTACAGAGATGGACAATGGAGGCATCCTTGAACTCCTGGGGGGGTATAGCCCACAAGGGGGTCACAGTGGACCCTCTGCCTTGTGACTCTCTGCTGGAATAGAATCAGCACCAGGTGCTTTGCCACACAAGAGGAGCCTAGTGGCACTCAAAGCCTCTTCTTCAGCTGGAACTTCGGCGAGGGAGGGACTGACTTCAACCTGAGGTAAACGGTCAATGGCTTTAGCACTGACTGAGGATGTTCCGATGAGAACACCATGGAAGTGTTCAGTCCATCTCTCCGAGATCATGCCCTTATCCCTAATCAATGTGGCTCCGTGAGCACTGAGCAGTGGAGATGCACCATAGGTCTGTGGTCCATAAATAGCCTTCGGGGCATCACAAAAGCACTTTGCATTGTCGCCATCAGCATAAAACTGAATCTCATCTGCCCTCTTACTGAGCCAAGAGTCCTTGCACCTCTCTAAGCCTGGCTTGTACTTTACTTCTGATGCAGTTAGATGCAGCCTTCTTAAGATGGATGAACTACCCTCCTGGTAAACTTTGTGGAGTTCTCATTTTTCATTTAGCAGGTTCTGAATTTCCCCATCATTTTCATCAGACCAGTCTCAATGTTTGCGAGTGTTCTGACCCAGATGAGCAAAGGCAGTGCTGTATACCCCATCTCTGAAAGCTGCCCACTCCTTTTCTGCTCCCCCATCCCTCCGAGTGAGCCAGGAACTGTTCCCACTGGGAGAAGTGCTCTAATCTGCTGACATTAAATCTGCTGGCAGTCATTTTGCCTTGAGGCCGCTGCTTTTGCTGAATGTGAATATTTAGCTTTGAAAGAATGTCCATCATCAGTCCAGCACTCTGCACTACACATCGCCTTCATCGCTCTCACATCCTGTCTGTCTCTTCTCACAGTAACAGTCTATTAAATGCAGATGTTTGCAGCAAGGGTGCACCCATGAAGTTTTACTGCATTTAGGTAAACAGAAGACAGTGTTGGGGATGCACAGGTCTTCTAAAGTGACCATTGCTGTTTCCAACTCCATTCCTCCCAAGGACTCCCTGCCACGTCTGGTGGTCTGAGCCTACTCTAGCATTGAAGTCACCCAGAATTATAAGCTTGTCCTCTTTCAGCACGCTGATAATAAGGATCTCCAGGTCTCATGTAACTTCTCTTTGACACCAGGGTTTGTCACGGAGGGAGTATAGCCACTCATGATGGTGGCATGTTGCTTTCCTGCAAGTAGCAATTGTATTGTCACGAGCCCCAGGCATTCACTCCTTTCAAGAGGCATACAAGCTTGAAGATTAGAATAGTGTTGATTGCAAAATCCACCCCATCTTCATGGGTGCTCCCCGTCACTCCAGAGGACCACTCCAGAACATGTCCATCAGCTCTGACTTCAGCATGCTGGCCTTCATTTGCTGGCCTGCTTTCACTCGGGGCTACTATACCTGGATGTAATACCTGCTGAGTTCTCTAGCAACAAGAGCTATTCATTCTTCAGTTCTGCTGGATTTCATATTGTCCATAAAAGCGTACACATCCCACGTACTGACGATGAGTGGAATCATCTTTGCAAAGGTTTTTGTACATTTTATTTCAACTGCAGGGTGGGATCCCCACCTGCCACAGTAAACAGGTCAGGGTTGGGTGAAGGAGACAGTTTTTAGGGAACCTTTTCTAGCCCCTTCCTCATGCCAGGAGGTGAGCAGTGAAGTCCTTCAAAAAGGCTGCTCAGACACCCAGATGACCCTATGGCCTGGGCCGCCTGTGTGCAGGATTGTGACCACAGCTCCCAGTGTATCTGCACCTGCCATTTCATCACTTGCCTGTTGCAAGGGACTTTGAGGTAGATAAAAATGGCAACATGGTATGGATGAGGTCTTTTTGATTTGTGCACAAGTAGAGGGTTCCTCTGCTGCACGTCTGAGGGCTCTCATGGCAAGCACCTGATAACTTGGGACATTTCTTCTTCACTCAGGTCAATACTGCTAACCCCCTTCCACATCACAGAATGTTTAAATATGTGAAGACACTCTTCTCTAGGACAAAGAGGTTTCGTTTCTTCATCTAGTGTTCTGAAAGCCATGGCTTCCCAGGGGTTTGGGGGGCCTTTTCTCTTGAAAGCAAGAAAGAGAGGCAGCTAGGTGGCACAGTGGATGGAGCATCAGCCCTGGAGTCAGGAGGATATGAGTTCAAATCCAGTCTCAGACACTTGACACTTACTAGCTGTGTGACCCTGGGCAAGTCACTTAAACCCTGTCTGCCTCACAAAAACAAATTAAGAAAGAGAGAAAGAAAAGATTCACAGGGGACCTCAGCAGCCATCTGGTCCAGCACTCACTTCAGCAGACCCTTTTGTTTTACAGAAGAGGAAACTGAGGCCTGAGGCACTGCAGCAGCATGCTGTCCCTGTCTTCTCCACCAATGCGTTTTGGAATTCATTCCCTTCGGCAAAGAGTGAACAGGGAATCTTCTCCCCTCCGTGCCTGCTCCCTGAACACCCAGCCCACAGGTGGGAATGTGGAGTACTGAAAGAGGACACAATCAGCCACATGCTATCCATGATCTGACCCTATAGGCGGCAGGCGATAGGCCCACGGGGTGACTTTGGAGGGCAGTGGGAAGGCTTACCCCGTCTCTCAATGGGAAGCCGTGGCTCCCAAGAACCAGCATGGTGGCCACACCCAGGCAAGACAGGCCAGCCTCCCTTTCATCACAAATTAGCAAGGTGCTGGAGAAAATGATCTAATTAGAACTGTAGTAAAGAGTATAACAAAGCCTGAGAAGGATGAGGCCTGAACAACGTGCGGTCGGCTGGGTGGACTTGGAACCGACTGAATGTCTGGACCCAAAGGGTTGCTGGCGATGGCTCTATGACATAGCTGCTTGGAGGGAGGTCTCCAGTGGAGTGCCTCAGGGATCGGTGCCTGGCCCCGGCTGCTCCACACGGTCGTCGATGACTTGGAAGAAGGCACCGGGGGAATGCTTATCAAATCAGCAGAGTTGTGGGATGCCGGGAGGGAGAGCTTACACCGGATGGCACAGTCACGATCCAAAAAGATGGTGACAGGGAGAAGAAAAACTACTAGGTTGTACGGCCCTGAGCAAATCACTTCAGGTTTTGTGGCCTGTGAAAACAGGGATGATAACCAGAGTCCCAACCACCCAGGTGGGTGTGAAGATCAAATAAGAGACTGTATTGGCTTCTTTGTGGACCTTAAAGCACACGACCCAAGAAGCCATGGCTACCAGGAGCCCCTAGCCGGGGAGAGCATGAGGTGGCTGCCCTTGTAATGGGAAAAGCCCAGGATGCTCACCACAGTGGGCTGGCTGGGGACCTGCCCTCTATCTGGTACAGTTAGGGACAAGGCCTGATCGCCAATCTGCCAGACTGAGAAAACAAGTGTAACATAGAAACCACACAACATCCCTGGGATGGGAGGGCTGATAGGAATCCTGAGCTTCACTGGAGGAGGAGGAAATAGACCGAGAGGAGACAAATGACTCGCCCTGGGTCACACAGCTAGTAAGCGTCTGAGGTGGGATTCAATTGGAATCTTAATAATAGTAAAGCATTTATATATTACTTTTAAGGTTGCCAAAGAACTTTACAAATATCATCTCAGTTTAGCCTTACAACAATCCTATGAGGGTGGGGCTGTTATTATCCCCATGTTATAGATGAGAACACTGAGGCTAACAGCTGTTAAATGGCCTGCTAGGAAGCATTTGAGGCAGGATTTATATCCTTTTCACCAAGTGCAGTGCTGTGTGAAGGGAGTCGGTCCTTATTACCTAACGGTCTCTCATCACCTTTGGAATGGTGGGGCTGGTCACTCCACATACTCACCAGTAAGCTGCAGTCTTGCGAAACAGCTCACGAAGCCAGCAGCCACTGCCGAAGATCGTATCAATACCCGCAAGACAAAGTGTAGCCGCCATCACACACCTGGTACCTGGGAGGGAGGAAGAGATGCACCTGTGAACAGGGGCCCCCCAAGGGCCCTGGCCTTGGACCAGGGATGGCTGGATTTGGAAGGGTCTGGAAACACGCCTGTGGCTCTGGGAAAGCGCTCTGCGTCTGATGTCAGGACCAGAGTCTGACTCCCAGCGTGGCCGCTGGGTGCCTGGGTGCCGTCGGCCAGGTGCTTTCTCTTCTCTAGGCTTCAGTCTGCTCCTGTGTGAAGCGAGGAGGCTGGGCCACAGGATTACAGGTCACAGACTTCAGAGGTGGCCCAGCCCAGTCTCCCTGCTTGCCAGAGGAGTACACATACTATTCAGGCTCTGTGTCTCCGAGCTGGCAACTGGATCCCAGTCCTCTGGCTCCAAATCTAGCAGCCTTTCCACTTCACCACGTCACAATTCAATTTAAAAAAACCATTATTAAGCCCCTGCTGTATGCCACATGCTGTGCTAGGCCCTGGGAAAGCGAGGACAAAAATGAAACATCCCTGCCTTCAAGGACTTTTCATTCCACTGTGGGGAGACATCAAGGACACAAAGAAGTCAACACAAAATATGTGCAAGATAAATACAAGGAAATCTGCACTAAAGTATCTCTGATTCCTAAATCAACCAATACATTATTAATTACCTACTATGGATCAAATATGATGCCAGGCATTAGGGAAAACCAAGTGGGGGGGCCAGTTCTAGGCAATCCAATTCCTCCCTTCCTGGTTTCACTTGGAAATAACAATGAAAAAGCCCCATATGTTTATAACCAAGTGTGATGAGAGATAGTACAAAAGAGCCCCTGCCCTCAAAGAGATATACTCTAACAGAGAAAGCACAACTCAAGGTGGAATTTGAGAAATACGAGAAACCTGAACCACAGCTAAGGTTAAGGTGAAGAGGAAAGAGGGAAATGTTCATCTCAGAAAAGGCGACTGTAGAAGAAAACCGTAACAGTTGGGGGTCTCAACAATTGTATCCCTCTTAGACCTAGACAAATCTAACCAAAAGACAACTAAGAAAGAAGTTAAGGAACTGAACAGAGTTCTCCAAGTTCACTATGACACATCTGTGGTGATGACTGAATGGGAATAGAAAGGAATATACATTTTTCAGATGTACATGGCACCTTAACAAAAATTGACCATATAGTGGGCATAAAAATCTTGCAAGAAAAGCAGCAATATCTAGCAACATCCCTAACTGACCACGATGCAATAATGTTAAATGGGATGTTCTACCCCGAGAGTCTCCCACCTCGGTAAAGGAGGAAGAGAAGTATACGAGTCTCCTTTGGGACTAAGCTTGGCTATTATAATAATATGGTAGGGGGTAGCTAGGTGGCGCAGTAGATAGAGCACTGGCCCTGAAGTCAGGAGGACCTGATTTCAAATCTGGCCTCAGACCAAACACTTAACACTTACTAGCTGTGTGACCTTGGGCAAGTCACTTAACCCCAATTGCCTATAATAATAATAATAATAATAATAATAATAATAATAATAATAATAATAATAATACAGCACTCAGTTCTCTGCTGTTGTCGATCTTTGTAGTTACACTGTTGGTGTCACTGTATATATTGTCTTCTTTATCTCACTTCCTTTGCTTTGCATCAATTCATATCCGTCTTCCTTGCTTCTCTGAATAATCCATATTCATTATTTCTTATGGCACAATAATATTCCACTAGGGTGCTTTGTCACTTTTGAGGGGCTTATTCTTTGATTTTTTTAAATTAAAAAAATTCATTTTCATTTCATAGTCTCTCTCCCCCCCCCCACCTCGTGAGAAGGAAAGAAATACAATAGCCATTATACACAGGAAATTGTGCAAAAAATATTTCCACGCCGGCTATTTTGCATTAAAAAAGCAAAGAAAGTAAAGTGAAAAAAATATGCTTCCATCTTCACTCAGCATCCACTCAGATTGGTTGTGGTAAACTAAATAAATTTTGAAAAAACACTAGTGCTTAGATTTTAATAGAAAAATTTAGATTTGGTCTGACCGAGGAAAAGGGTGGTAGAGGCAACCATTTCTCTTAATCTGGACAGCAGGCCTCTTGTAACACAACTTTAAAGCACATCAGGGGCAGCTAGGTGGTGCAGCGGATAGAGCTCTGGCCTTGGAGTCAGGAGGACCTGAGTTCAAATCCATCCTTAGACACTTGACACTTAACTAGCTGTGCCTACCCAAAAAAAAAAAAGTGAAAAACTGTTTGCAGTCATCTAAGACCCCCAGATGAACAATTCATAGTAATAATTCATGTGAATCAAATGAAATATGACAATTCAGCTATCTGACCACACCTTTCCCAACCTATATATTACTGGGTGCCTTAAGGCTCAGGAAAATCAGAAAATTACTGGACTAAATGTGCTCTCTGAATCATTTAGTGAACCGGCCTTTCTCCAGGTATGTTTTTCATTCCTCCAATTTTTGATTTCTTGGGAAACGGCTACCCCACAGACTGATGTGTCAGTCGCGCTGCATCTGTCCCCTCCACTCACACAATCACCACCCTGTTCAGGAACTACGCACTGGTTAATGAAGTACAAGGGCCTTCTTCCTGACTGGATTTCCTGCCTCCAATCTCTCTCCTCCCCAACCGACCCTTCACTCAGCCGAAGCACAGTCTGACCGCAGCACTTCCCAACTCAATAAACACTAGAGGTTCCCCACAGCTCTAGGATCAAACATAAACTCCTCTCCGAGGCATTTAATGGCCTTCCCAACCCAGCTCCAGCCCTCTTCTGTCTCCTCGGGTACACAAGGTACTCGGAAACTCTTCCATTTGGCCAAAATGGTCTACCTGCTGTTCCCGTCTCAGTTCCGTTGCGACGGCTGACCAGCAAGCCTAGAACCACCACCATGCCTCCTTGCATCGGGTTTCCTTCAAAGCTCGGCTCGAATGCCGCCTCCTACATGAAGCCCCCCAGGCTCAGGAAAGGACAAGGATGGAGGAAGCGGGCCTCCTGAAGGTCTTCTTGACTATCCCAGGGCTCCACCACTGGGACTTAAGTCTTAGATACCGGCCAATGACTGAGGCTGCTTTAATAACACTACCCTCAGGCAGGAAGCCTTCTGGAGGCATTGTCCACAAGCTTTAAATCAATTCAAGTCATTGCTGGTGTAGACAGTTTACAGGGAGTCTACACAGGCTAACCGGCTATAATTCATCAAAAAAGGGGAAACACTGAAGAGATCAGACCTTGCCCTTGAAGATCCTGAAGCAGAAGGAAACCCACGCCTACACAGCCTGGGTATTCTAGAGAATGTCCACAAAAGATTAGTTTTCTCCTCTACAGAGCTGGTCATGTCTCCATTATCAGGAGGACGGTTTTTGAAATTATCACAAAGAAGGGGCAGGGCACATACACCATATAAAGGGATGTTCATGGCAAGGAACCTAAGAGGCCCCAGTTAGTTTCGTCCTTTCCCAATGGTCCAACTTTTTGCTGCTCTCAATTGAGCAGCCATCAAGGTATTTGCACAGGTGGGCCCTTCCTTCCTGCCAGTGAACTCCCTGGGCCATAAACCCATTAGTGGGATCACGAGGTCAAAGGGGAGGATGCAATTTGGTAACTTTCCTCGAATAATTCTACACTGCTTTTCAAAACAGTTGGACGGAGGGACCTATTCACAGCCGTGATTTAGCATGCCTGTCTTCCCACAGCCCCACCAGAATATTTATGTTTCAGCTGCAGTTACTAAATTAGATGTGCGAAAGAGAAACTCTATCCCCCATGGGAAAGGAGCTTGGATTGGGATGCAGCCAAATTGAAAAACCTGCTATCATCTTCTTCCTCACTAAGACATCTCCAAATGTCAGGATGCCACAGTCCTCCCCATCCTACAGGTCCACAACCTCCACTGTAACTCATTCTTCACACCCTTTCCCCCACATCCAATCAGGTACCGAGTCTTGCTGCGTGCCTTGCGGCCAACCTTCTCTCCCCACTCACACAGCTGCCAGCCAGGTTTTTGCCCTTATCACCTCTCTCCTAGAGTAGGGGAATAGCTTCTTTAAAAATATATTGTTATCTTTTGTTTTACATCACCTAGATTACTCCCCCTATCTCCTCCTCCCCACTCTCAGAGGCATCCCCTATAACAAAGACTTTTTTTCCTAAGGAAAAAAAAAGGAACAGGAAGAGAAAAAAAAAATCTGCAAAGCTGATAAATACATAGAAAAGAAATCTGAAGATCCATGCAAAGCCCATAGCCATGGACCTCTCACCTCTGCAAAGGAAGTGGCCTTGATGGCACCCTGACTCCAATTTCTCCCTTCTCTCATCTTACCTGTGTAAGCTGTTGAAATTCCCTGTACAAACATCTTCAGTTGCACCCTAGCACAAAATACAAACTCCCCAGCCCTGTGATGAAAGTCCTTCCCAACCTGTCTCACCCCCTCCTTTACCTTTCCAAACTGACTTCATTCTATTCCCCTTCATGAAGCAGCACCAGCCAAACTGGACCACTTGCTTCCAGAATCTAGCCACCATTTCCTGTCTTGGTGCCCACGCATAGGCCGGGCCCCATGCTTATGTGTTATGTGCCCTCTTCTGCCTCTGTGCTCACTCTTTAAATCCCAATTGAAATGAAATGTGATCCTCAGATGTGATGACTCATCTCTAACTTGGGTTGAGAACCTGCAAATGCACATTTCTCTCAGACAAGACACATTCAGTATACAACAGTCTCCTAGTCTCAAAACAGTTCTTTGATTCAGTGTTTCTCAACAAAAAATTTCCAAGGGCTAAAAACATTCACAGATAAATGAGCTGCTGGGAAATGCTGCCCCTGCTGCCATCCTTCCTGTCAGGAGTGAGTCCTCCCGAGTCTCCCTGGGGCACACTGAGTGAAAACTCTGGTCCTCCCAGAACCTTTGCTCTTCCTTCTCAAGCTGCTATTCTCTGTGCTTCACACAAATGTGCTTTTCCTGCCCCTTTTAGTAAATAAAAAGCCCACATAAGAACGTGGCTCTACTGCACGCTAGCTCCCTCTTCCCAGGAACATTTTCAGTCCCTGCAAGTGTATGAAAGGGCGGACAAACAGCCTATTGCAAGTAACTTGGCATTTTGCACTAGCCCAATTCAAAATGAAATCTCATTCACTACAGCCACATAGAACTTTCTCTGCTTGTATTTCCTCACCTCCTACTTGCTCCTCAATCGCTTATGGTCCGACTCCAGATTCTGCCACTGAGCTGACACTGACTCCATGGTTATCAAGGATCTCTTCACTGACATCTGATGTCTCCTTTTCTCATCCTCCTGGCCCCCTCTGGGGCTTCAGAAGCGTCAAGTACGCCAACCCTGCTGAGCTGAGCACTGCCTTCTCTCGCTTTCTCCTGGGATTCCCAGAGCCTCGCACACAATTGGCACTTATTAAATCCTTCCTACATTGGACTGGTTCTCCTGCTACCTCCCTGACTGCCCCTCCTTTGTCTCCTTGGCTAGGTCACCATCCATCTCCCACCCCAAAGCTCTGTCTTCCCTTCCTCCTGTACTGTTCATCTTGGTCAGCTCCTTGGCATCAACGGATTCGATTATTCTCTATTCCGATGTTTCACACATCTCTCCACCTTGCCCTAACCCCTTTCCTAAGCTCTGCGGCCGTGCCTCTTTCTGTGAATCTCACCAGTGCCTCAAGCACAAAAACACACCCAAAATTGAATTCGCTCCCTTCTTTTCTAACCCCACCCAGCCTCTTTTGTTTCTGTCAGGGACGCCAACCTCTGTCTAGTCACCCAGAGGCTGATGACCCAGCACAGCCTCCCTCACTTAAACCCAGTTCCCTCCCGTGTCACGGCACCACCTCGCTGATGTCACAGTCCAAAGACAAACAACAACAGTGACCTCCAAATCATTGCGGACTCTTCTCTCTTAGCTGTCCTCACCTTTGCAGGTCTTGCTGCCCGGGCTTCCACAGCCTCATTTGCCGGTGCAGAGGAGGGCTATGGGGAAGGGACCCAAGCGATCTCTTTGGGATGATGGCTAATACTTTAAAGCCACAGACACAGTTAACACAGCCCAGGTGACAGGACCAGCTGATTCCATCTATTTCCTAGAAGAGGGACACACCCAGACCCAATCACACCCACGGAGCAGGACGTCAGCTCGCAGGACATCCAGCCAGAACTAGACCTGAACAGAAATGGAAAGTAAGGCCTATACCAGAGCCCTGTAGAAAGGGGGATTCTTGAAGGGAGGGTCAGCTTCACTGTGGCTTTCCACCCCCAGGGCCTTACACAGAAGGCTCTTAATGTTGGCCAAATTAAATGGAATGGACAAGCCATTTGGAACGTCTTCAAGGTCACTGTTGCTTTTTGGGGACCCCTGGGATGCCTAGGCCTTCTCTCTTTGCTGAGGATGCAGGACACCTGTGGGAAATGTGCTTCTCACTATAGATAACCTGAAGCCTGTCCCCTGGCCTACAGAACCTAGCTAGACAGGGCTGCTTGCATCCCCCAGGCAGTACCCACATTCTTAAAGGAGAAGCATCAGGCTTCCCTCTCCCCAGGCTTCTCTGCTTCAAGAAAAGGGACAAGGCAGGGGGCTGCCCCAGAAGGTGAGGGCGCTACTTACACAGTATTCAGCAGAACTGACGGGACTTCCAGCCCTGAGAAGTAGCCTCGGAGGGAGGGAGCCAGCGCATCTAAAAGGGCAGAGGGAGAGAGCAAAGTGTGAGCCAGGCCGAGCTGCCCCAGCTGAGTCCGGGCATGACGGCTGGGCTGCACCCCACCCCCCCAAATCCTAGCTCCAGCTTGTGCTTCACAAGCCCTCCCCAGCACCTTCCTCGTGGCACACAGGCAGGAGAAGCATTTTTACACCCTTACTGAAGACAGAAAAGGGCCCAGAGAAATGACATGATACTCATGGCCACATGTAGCTACTAAGTCAGAGGAAGGATGGGACCCTGGGCCCTTGACCGCCATCCCAGGGCTCTTTCCACTAAGCCCAGGGGCCCCTTGGAGTCCCTCAAATTCCAGGATGGCTTTTGTAGGCAAACTGAGAGCAACGTGAGAGGGGTCTTTGGCAGCCCTCACCACTGCCCCTTTCCAAACTGATGGGCCTGACACATTCTCCAGAGACAAAAGCAGGTCCCAGAAGTGTGGTAAAGCGTCTGTCAGACACACCTCAGAAAGTTATCTGTACCCCTGCACTGTCCTGCAAAAGCGGGGATGGTGACTGAGCTCCTTGCTCCCAAAAAGAAGGGGAGTCATCCGATTCCTGAGTCACCGGGTCTGAGGAGCAGAAAGGCTAAGAATTAGCCCATGTAAAACCATTTTCCCAGAACGATGTAGGAATGAAAGACCTTGGCAAGGAACCAGGGGGCTGCCTGTTTGGGGGAGGAGAGAGGGGGATTTCTGTAAGCAGGATGTTGCTTTATCACAGAAAAATGCATCCACTTTGATAAGTCAGGGCTTCCTGGCAGGGACCCAAGTGAGTAACCGGGAAAGGCAGCCCGTCCCCGGACAGCCAGCAGTGGGGCGGAGCCAGAGGTCCTCCTGGAGGTCTGCTCCTGTCTTGAGAGTTGTGTCAGCCTTTCTCCCTGACCCCAGCCCCCAACTCCCCGGGCCATTTGTTCCCTGAAAAGGAAGCAGTTACTGCCTTTGGCAGGGAGGCCATCCCATCTACTGATGGCAGCAGCATCCCATCCCACCGGGTTTGAGAGGAACACGATCTCAAAGATGGGCGGCAGACAGCTAGCTTTGGGGCCAGAAAACCACAGCAAGCCTGCTTCAGCCTTCCCGGCTCTGTAGCACCAAGGGCGGTCAGGGGAGGCCCACCGACTTCCTGGACTGGGACAGCACTCCCGGAGTGGGGCTTGCCCTCTCTGGCTCTGTGGGAGGGGTCCCACGTCAGCAGGTTTGGGGGAAGGGGTCCTTGCCCTAATTGCCCCATTAAGTGTGTGAGCCATGGGACAGGAGCTGGAGGGAAACTGGAGGGAGACTCCTTCATCCATTTGCTCTTGGAGGAAAGGAGGCCCCCTTCTCACTGCTCAGCCAGAGCCTTCTGAAAGAAAGAGCTGGTGGGGCCAGAGGAAAGACAACAGGAAGTGCTCTGGGAGGGGTGGGATGGACCGACTGCCTGATGCCCATCTTTGGAAGGCAGTTAGAGAAGAAAAGGGAGAGAAAAAGCTGGGAGGAAAGGGAGGCCGACAGGTTCTGGAGCCCGTGTCCAACTTGGACGTTCTGATACGGAGTGGTCAGTGGGGAGGGAGAACCCTCTATTTAGGGGAGGCCAGAAGGAAAACAACTGCTCCCTCATGGTCACTGACCCAAATGGCTGGAGCTATCTTTCCAAGAGAGTGACCTTAGACTCAGAATTACAGAAATGTCAGAGCTGGGAGGGACCTTAGATCACAGAATATCATGGATGGAAATGGGCCTTTTAGAACAGGGAATATATGAGTTGGGAGGGCCCTTAGATTCAGCCCCAAGCTAAGCCACATCATCTCCTGAAGGAAGAATGGAGGCATCTTCTCCTCTGCGGCACAGATGAGCCTCCAGGCTCTTGCTGTCCCCTTGGGGGCTCAACACCCCAGTGAAACCTTAACAGGGCCACAGAGGACAGCAGGGTACTGGCCCAGGAAGAGGTCCACAGCCAGCCTTTCTCCACCTTGGGCTCTCACCTGGAGATGCCTACGCCCATTTAACACCGTCACGGCCATGTTATAAACATGTCTGAGGAGTGCACCCCACAGGAATCAGAGTCTGAGCTTCCCAAACAAAGAAAGAAAGAAACCAAGTACCTACCCATGGTTCACCGCTTTGTGCATCTGAATCCACTTGCTCATTAAGCAAAGAGCAGAGCTGCAGTGGCCTTCCTGAGGCAGGTGGTGAAGGAAGGGGAGAGGGGACAGAATCCCTGACAGAGGCTGGGGCCAGGGGACCTAGAGGTGACACACAGGAGAATGGGGGCAGGGTTCTTGTGCATCGGAGGTCAGGATTGGTGCAAGGCGGGTGAGAACTGGTGCCTCCCTGGCACTGACGGAGGTGCTGGGCACCTGATGTGATCGAGGCATCAGAGAGAGAAAGGAGGGCTGATGGGGGGAGGGAGGAAGGAGGAAAGGGAGAAGATGGTCTGATTCCCGTGTAAGGGAAGCCTGCCTTCCATCTAGCACTGTGGCCTGACTGTGACCTCCCTGGCCCCCACAGACACCACTCCCAGTCATGATGCCCACACACACGCCCTTGGGGTGTTCTCTGCCTCCCTGTTACAGGCCTCAGGAATGTCAGAGACCCTGTATCCAATGGCTCTCACAAGCCTGGTCTAGGCCACACCCCATCTGGTCTAGTTAGAATGGAAGCGCCTGGAGAACAGAGACTAGCTCTCCTTCTTATCAATGCCCCTCCAGTGACTAGCACAGTGCGGGGCATACAGTAGGTGATCCAGAAATGCTCGCTGGACTGGACTGCATTAACAAGGATCCACAGTAGGATGGCTGACAAGCAGCCCTCAAACAGCAAAGGCCATGACTCCAGAGGGTTCAGAAGTGGTTAGCTGGGAATGGAAGCCACAGCCCTCTGGGGCTTGGCCAGCAAGTCCCTGCCCAGAAGCTTTGGGGCTTACATGGGCTTCTGACAGCTTGCTGGGGGGGGGGTCACCAATGCAGCAGAGAGAGAGGCCAACGAGAGACGGGCCATCTTGAACGCAATACAGTGGGACTGCGTGGTATCTCTCAGCTGCCCTGTGTGGGGGGTGAGGAGATACCTGCAAGAGGCACGTGGTGCTGTGGACTCTGGGCATGCCCCCCCCAGCCTCAGTTTCCTCCTCTGTAAGACTAGAGGTTGAGAACAGATGGTCTCTAAGGCAGCTCTGAGCTGGGCCCTCATGAGGGGCCTGTTTCCCCTCCTAAGACAAATGGACACAGTAGACGGTCTCCAAGGTTCCGTCCAGCTCTGAATCATAAAACACCTAGGAGCAGTAGGTGGGATTTATGGGTGTAGATTCCAGCACCAAGTGCCCAACATTTAGCAGCTGCTGCCTGTCCCTGAGTACAACGGGCTTTCTTGGGGAAGCGAGCTCCCGGCCTGGAGTTCTCCAGGCACCATGTGGTGGAACGGCTATGGGGAAGGCTGAGGAGGAAATGCCACCGAGGTGGGGGCTGCCAGATGGAGGCACCAGAGGATCAGAGAGGACCTTGGAAGCCATCAGCAAGAAGGAAGGCACTTCGCACAGGGTACCCAGGACGCGGTGCACCTTGCTCTGGGGGCACATTTCTCAGAACTCCCCTCGACGTGAAGAGACCACATGACTCTGGGACAACGGACTTCATCCATCACCAGCCTCCCCCTCCCAAGGGGAAATCATGGCGCTGGACTCGACTTTGTCCTGGAGGGACTCTGCCGATAGGAAAGGAAGCACTTCTCAGGAGCCCCCCGGCCTCCACCTCTTCTTTCTCCTGTGGCCCCAAGCAGGCTCTGATTCACACACTGACGATCGGCAGAGGTCCAGCCTGTGTCGCATCTGTAATGGAGGAGCGTGGAGGTGCAGCCCTGAGCGACCCGCCTACCCCGTCCTCTCCGGCCCGCTTCTGAGGGATGTCTGTATCAAATACGGGGAATGGGGAAACGTGGAGCACCTTCCTCTTCTGCATCAGAAAGAAAGGTCCTTCAGAGCGAGTGTGGCTGCAGCTGTGGGTGCCAGCCGCCAATCCCTCTGTGCCATTCTGGGCTGGAAGAGTCTGGAGGGCGGGTCACAATACAAGGGTGGACTTGTGATGTCATCAGTGAGAAGGCGGACATCTTCTCTGCTCCCACTGAGAGGTCAGTGCCCGGGGTCACTCAGCCAGGTCACAAGCCGAGGTGAGACGTGAATCCAGGTCCTTCTGATCCGAGCCGCTCCCTGTTCTGCACTATGCTGCTTCTCAAAAGCAAAGTCACTGAGGGAGACAGCAGACTGCTCCAAGCATACCTACTTTACAGACCGATCAATGATCAATCCAGCCCAGACTCAGGAATGGTCTCGGGAATCAGGGACACTGTACAAGGACGCCCACCCCGCCCACTTTCCTAAGGGGGTCCTCACCGTAGTGTGGGAAAGAAGGAAACGAGCATGTATTAAGTGCCCACTGCATTCAGGCACTGTATTAAGAGCTTTATAATTATTATCTCATCACAGCAGCCCTGACACGGAGGTGCTGTGATGATCCCGTTGTACAGTTAAAGAAACTGAGGCAGACAAAAGGTAAGTGACCTGCCCACGAACCCATAGCTACAAAATGTCTGAGGCTGAATTTGAATTCAGGTCTTCCCGATCCCAGGCCTGGCGCTCTACCGGCTCCCCCAGAGGCATCCAGGCAGCTCTGTCTTTACAACCGGCCAGATCTAAGGGAAGGAAGCTACCAGCCTGGGTTCTTTGACCATAATTCTGCAAGGAAGCCTGCTGGTAAGAGTTGACAGCCATTATTATTAACAACATGGCGGTCCTCTGTCTAAGGGATCCGTATGAAATGGGCACTGTCTCCTGCTGTTTCTCCTGTCTCCATGCCTCTGCTCATGCCGTCCCCTAGCCTTCGACCAGACGCTCCCTTCCCATCTGCAGACATCTTTCACTAAAGGCCCCACTGGGTGCCTCCTCCTTGAAGCCTTCCCTGGTTCCCCTAGCAGCAAGGGCTTGCCTGTTCTCTCACCCCTGCCCAGATATCTCAGGCTGGTCTTCCACTGCAGTTTACCTTAACTCTACTCATTCTGTTCTTACACAGCAAGCTTCCCTAGTACGCAGGCCATGAAAAAAAAGCAAGGGGCATGTACCTTTCATGGCCAGTTAAGAGACTATTTGGAAAGCGCTTTACAAACCTTCAAGTGTCGTGTCAACGCCAGCCATTATCATTACTGTTGCTGTAATAAGAAATGGTAAAACATAACAGAGGCGCAACACAGTGCAGGAGTGAGGGAATGATGTGGATCAGAAGACCCAGGTTCAAATCCTGGCTGTGTGACCTTGGGCAAATTGGTGAAGCCCTGAACTGACTGGGCCCTCCCCACTCTAAGTCTGCTCTCAAAGCGGTGTCAGATGGCAGCTCCCTCCCCCAGCTGCCCCATGGCCTATATAAGCTGATGCTATGCACTGAGCGAGCCCTCGACAAATGCCTTGTTGGATTTACTGGACAGGACTGGGCCAGGCTCCAGCTTTGAACATCTAGTGCTAAGTGCAAGGCTAGGAACACAGAAGGCGCTTAATAAATGCTTGCTGGATTCAACTAAATCTCTTCTGCTCCTCTGGAGCCATCACACCATTTTCAAGGCCCAGACTTCATTCGCTGCCCTGTCCCCAACTCCAGAAATGAGGCCATGAGGAAAGGTCTTGAAGATTCCTCTTCTCCATGATTTCCCCATCCCTGATGGCGGATCCCTGGCTCCAAACAGGTCTGGGGGCCTATGTCCAAGGAAGCAGTGTGGCAGAGTGGTGAGGGCACTGGCCGTGGAGTCTGAGGCTTTGGACTGGACTCATTCCCGCCACCCACTGTCACCTTCATTGAGCCCCTTCACCCCAGTTTGGGCCCCTGAGGGCCTGGGCCAGGTGATCCACCCAGTTCTGAGGGCCTGCTCTCCAACAGGGCCAGATGAAGCTAGCAGAAGCAGAGGCCCTTCCCCTCATGGCCCATCCTAGCTGCACAGGCTGACCCGGCAGCAGCAGGGACCCCGAGTGCAGCTTGCACAGAAGCGGATAAAATACATGAGGACGTGACAGAGACCCAGTAACGAGGCATGCCGGGTGAGAGCGCCCAAGCGTGTAAGTCCTTGTGGCACACGGAGGCCTCGCTCACTGCTGGTTATCCATATTTAATATTTTCCTTGGTTAATTTTTAACTATGTTTGCTGTCGAGGGCCATTAGTAGGGCCAGGGAGCCGGGCTCAGTGAGCAGGAAAGAAGCGCCTGGTAGCAGGAAGCCCCAGCAGCCACCGCGGCCCTGCACTTTGGAGGCCTGCCGCTCGGCTCTTTGGGCTGGTGCGGACGGCTGGATGGCATCGTGGAGCTTGAATAAAACATGATTCCGTCGGGAGGGACTCGGTCTTTTCCACCCTGTCATCATCATTCTTCTTCAAACGCAGGTTCACAGACTCCTTTCATTTCCCTCAAGCCCCAATTTCCAAAAGTAGCAAAAAGACTTCAGGGACTTCTGATGACTTGTGTGCCCGTGGATAGAGACCAACAGCACTTGGATGCCAGAAAAACAACGTGGTGCAATGGGGAGCTGAGGCTGGGCTAAGTGACCATCTTATAGCACTGTGGTCAAAATGCAAGAGTGGCAGTGTGGCGTGGGGCAGAAAGCACAGGATTTGGGAGGCAGGCAGGCAGTCTAAATCTGGACTCCGAACTTACTAGCTGTGTGACACCAGGCAAGTCACCTCATTCTCTGGGCCTATTTCTTCATCAAATGAGGGTACGGAACATCATGGCCTCTCAGGTACTTCAAGCTCTGAATCTATGATCCTATTACCATTTATTGAAGCTGGTAGGAGATGAGTGGGCACCAGTCAGCCCCTTCCCACCTGCCTAGGCTTTTTCCATCATTGTGCCAAAGTTCTGGAGGATGCTGAAATTCCATTCCATAGCAGTAGCACAAATCTCACCTTGGGGCTTTAACTCAGTTCATGTTAACACGCAGTTATTAAGCACCTACTACATTCAAGATTCTAAGCTAGGTGCCAGAAATGGAATGAAAAAAGCAACACAGCTCTGCACATAAGGCCATTACATTCTCCTTGGGAAAAGAAAAGCAACTAAGTCAGTGCAAGGCAGTTAGGGGAAAGGTGGGGAAGAGGAAGAGGGAAGAAGGAAGAGAGAAGGGAGGGAGGAAGAGAGCAGAAAGGAGAGAAGGTAAGGGAGAAAGGAGAGAGGGAAAGGAGAAAAAAAGAAGGGAAGAGGGAGAAGGAGAAGGAGAAAGGAAAAAGAAAGAGAAGAGAAGGAAGAAGGAGAGGGGGAGAGAGAAAGTGAGAGCACGGACAACTAGGGGGAAAGCAGAGATTGGGAAAGGCTTCACAGAGAATCTGGTGCCTGCGCTGAGCTTTGAAGGAAAATTCAGAGAGACGGACAGGAGGAAGGAGTGCAGTTCAGACACCGAGGATGGTCTGGGTAAATACACAGAGGTCAAAGATGGCAGTCAGATTTGGAAAAGAGCAAGTAAACCTGTCTGGCCAGAAGGAAGAGGGGCATTGTGAAATACGGCTAGAAAAATAGTCTAAAGGCAGACTGTAGAGGACCTCGAATGCCTGGCAAAATAGTTTATATTTGATCCTGGGGGCACTAGGGAAGTTACTGTGTAGGCAAGTGACATAGTCCAACGTGTGCCTTAGAAGCATTACTCTGGCATCTGTGTGTACAGGATGGATTTGATGAGGGGAGAGCAGAGCCAAGGAGACCATTTAGAAAGCTACTGTAATTGTCCAGACCAGTGGTTCCCCACTTTTTCATTCTGTGAAACTCAACAAAAATGACGGAATGTGTTGTGAGTGCAAGAGGGGCAGCGTGGTGTGGGGCAGAAAGCACAGGAATTGGGAGTCAGGAAGATGCAGTCTAAATCCGGGCTTTGACCTTCCTAGCTGTGTGACACTGGGCAAGTCACCCCAGGGTAATATAACATACTAATATAATATTACCATCATTTCCTAACAAAGGCACTATTAAAGATTTGTTACCATCAATCCTTTAGACCATAAATGGGAACCACGGATCTAGACAAGAGGTAAGAAAGGCTTACACTTGGCTGGGTGAAGAGTTGGTGCAGAGGGAGAATTAAAAAAACTTGGAGAAAGGCAGAAGGCAGAATCAGCAGTCCCCCCAAGCACATGAACTTGGGTGACTGAGAGGACAATGGTACATTTATAGATAGCAACAGGGGAGTTTGGAACAGGGCAGGCTGGATTCACTGGGAAAGATGAGTAGTTTTTATGAGGTGACTCAGAATGCCTGTGGGACAGCCAGGTGGAGTTCATTCAGTGCCTGGGGCTACTAGATCTACGTGTCTAGGAGTCATCCACGTGGGGAGGGGACCCATGGGAGTCATCCACGTGGGGAGGGGACCCATGGGAGCTCTGGAGGCGGAGTGTGCTCTCTGGGCAAAGTTCTCCCTCCTCCCTCTTTATCCCTAGGCTGACAAGCCTACTGTCTCTGAAAATCTATGATCTTTGGTGAATTGAGGGGATGGTGAATGCTATGGGAGTAGATGAGATTGCCCAGGGAGATCATATAAAGAGAAGAAAAGCAAAGTGAGGACAGTACCTTGAGCACAAGGGTAGGAAGAGCTAGAGAAACAGCAGAAGGAACATTCAGAAAGCCAAGAGGAGAGTCGGGGGATGCAGTGTCCCAGAGGTCAAGGGAGGGGCGAGCCAACAGTGTGAGGGTGCCAGGGAGGCCAAGGAGGTGAAGGTCAGAAGAAAGGCCACTGGTAACCTTGGAGGAAGCAGCTCTGGCAGACTGTGAGACATAAAGGTATGGTAGGGAAGTCGAGGCAGTGAAGGTCAAAGTACCATCACTTCTATAGTTCTTCAAGGTGGGCAAATATCTGATGCACAATTTGTCACGTATGCCTCATAATAATCCAAAAGAAGGGAGAGGCGAGAGGAATTATTACCCTCTCCCATTTTACAGAGGAGGAAACTGAGGCTGAGAGAGCTTGGGTCACTCACAGAGCTCAGAAGCCCTGGAAGCTCAGGCCACCTTTTATGAATATAGAGATACACGGCTTAAGAGAATGTATTTTTATGTGATGGCGTACTCTGTGCTGCAATAAATGTATTAAGAGATGACCTCGAAGGGCCAAGGATGAAATGCGCCACCTTCCTACAACAGACGGGTGACGGCCGTGGGGAGCGGAATGCCCGCGTGCCCAGGGGATCTGGGTGGACAGGCTGCCTGGGCTTGGTGGTTAAACAAGGAATTCGGTTTTCTTCTCTTTTTTCAAATGAGGCGGGGGTAGGACGGGAGGGAAAATAAATAGATTTCTGCCAATGAAAGAAAACATTTACAGAAAAGAAAGTCGGCAGGGTGGGACAGATGCTGCCTGCACTTTCAGATGAGGGCACCCTATTATTAGCTTTTGCCTAAGTGTTTCACTCTGTCACAAGAGAGCTCTCAGGGAACGTGGGTAATCTGGAAATGTTTGTAATGTAAAAACAGAACACAGACAACATGGAAAATTTTTTCAAAATAAAGAGGACAGACAGTTCTTTTGAGGAGTTTGGCAGCAGACGAGAGGAGGAAGACCATTAGCTGGCCAGATTCAAGCAGCATGAGGAAAGGGGGATGATGGATGGAGCACTGTGATGGCGAAGGAGAGGGAGATCAGCTCTCTCCTGACCCCAGGGAAAGGGAAGAGGATGGAGGAGAAGGCTGGGAAAGGAAGGGAAGGGAGGAGAGGGCAGGCCTGGGGCTTGCATTGATCCAAGCAGAAAAGGTGCTCCGAGGATGCTAGTAACTTAGGGCTCTCAGGAGAAGCTTCCAGTCCAGAGCCAGGATCCGAGTCAGTACTCAACACCATCATCTATCTACCCATAGACGGAAAATCTGGAGCCCAGAGAGATGCCAGGTTTGGCCTGGTTTGGGCATGGACTGCATCACCCAGTATCTCCAGCCAGACAAGGAGGGGCCTCCTGGCTTCTCCTCTCCTCTCTGTTCTAGGGCGTCTCTCCTGGGCTTGGTGGGAAGGTCACCAGTGTGCAGCTTTGTTGAGGGGCTATGCGGAAAGTCTCCGGCTGGCTTGGGGGAGCCAGTCCATCCCCTGACTCACCGGACAGGCCCTTTCCTGGTGACACAAAGCATCTCCACTTGGAGAACACAAGCACGCTGGGCCCAGGACAGCCCTGGAAGCTGCTGTCACGGTGGCTGTGTGTGTTTCCAGTCCAAATTAGGATTTTTCATTCAAAGCCCTCCCACAGTCCCTGGAGACAGACAAGCCACAGTTCTGAGGCAGAACTCACAGGCCTCCGAGGGCTTCCTCTGCTGGTCAGCGGCCCCTCCTTCTACAGGAACCAGGGTCACACACATCAGTCTTCTGTCACTGGGGGGTCGTGGGTCCCAGGAGGGCACAGCTCCGGCACAGCAAGGGAGCTGGCATCCAGGAAAGAGGCAGCACTAAGATGACGATGCCCCACAGGCCTGGGGAGCCACTCAGGGGCTCAGCCTGGAATCAGAGACCTGAGCCTCCATTTCCTCATCTGTAAAATACAGGAGGGAACTCGAAGGCCTAAGTTGCTTTCCAGGATTCTGTGAGTCAGTGGTGACCCATCGGGGCAAGCCCTGAGCCACGCCCCCCCAAAGAGCAGGTTTGGTGGGCCAGAAGGTGACCAAGAAGGGGGCCTAGGCCCTGCTGTGCTCTCCCTCCGAGACCGTCAGCAGACAGTGGAAGGCAGAGCTCGATCAGGAGAACGATTTCAGGGTTCGAAGCCTGGCTCACCTCACACCGCCTGCATGACCTCGGAAAGCCCTTTCCCCACCCAGATGCCAGTGTGCTCATCTGCGAAATGAGGGAAAGTTAAGGCCACGGTTTCTCTCAGAGGGAAAGGGACAGGGGCCTTGAAGAGAGCTGCAGTCTGGCTACTAATGAGAGCCATGGAGGGGTCATTTCTAAAGAAGACAGAGAATGGGAGGGAGGCATGGGCCTCATGTGGTCTGACTGCGCAGCCCTGGGAAGACGTGCCTACAGCCCCCACGTCACCATGACAACCAGCCCGTCCTTTGGACTCTGAAATAACCCAAGGGGGCCACCCTGCCTCCTGGATCTCAGGGACCCTGGAAACGGGCCAGCAGGAGAACCGACCTCCCACACGCTCTGGGAAGCCACTCCACACAGACCCTGCCCCCTGGGGGCGCGTGCGCCTTGTGGCCCACCACTCCTGGTCCTGGTGACAGCCTGCAGCTATCTGGAAGCCCTCTGCCCCGTCCAGCCCCTCAGGTGAGATGAAGGTGAGATTAGGGAGAAGAAGGTGTTGGAAACTGTATCAGGCAGTGGGTGACAGACATCCCTTCCGTCGGTCCGCCTCCCAAGCTCAGGAGGGGGATGGCTCCGGGACAAGGTCAAGGCCACGGACATCTCTCGAAGGTGGGTCTGTTAGCGGGACAGGGGTTAGTTGTACTGTGCACTCGAGGGGTGCTTGAGTGAGTCAGGTGGTGGCGATGGGTCCAATTACCTGGGCATGCAGTGAAGCGGGATAGGTGAAAGCAGGAGGGGGTAGAGCAGGCGTCAACTCCGCTGGGTACAGAGGGTACGGGGCCCACACTTCGGGGGTGCTGGGATAAAGTGCAGGCACTGTGAGCTCATCTGCAAGAGAAGAAGAAGGAGGACAGGGTTAGTGGGCACTGGGAGCAAGGGTCCAAAGAAGAAACTGCCTCCCCGGTCCCAGGCCCGCCAACCACAACCCTCAGACCTGGCCAGGACGGGCTGCGACAACCGTCAGCCTCAAGCCTTGGGCTCACGGGTGCCCCTCCTCCCAGCTCCCCTGGAGGCGCCAGCAAGGAGAACCCCAAGGTGGGCAGGAGGCCTCGGGCAGACAAAGGAGACGGAGTCTAACATCAGGGGACCAGGAGAAGGAGGCTGACGTCTCTGGGAGAGCCGCCGGAGACCCGGAGAACCTTCGCGCTGGCCCACGGGTGCAAGATGCCACCTACGCCAGCACCCCAGGCCGTGATTCGTCTATCCTCCTTAGCTCTGTTATGAGGGGGCAGGCTGGGCAGGGAGGGGGATGTGGAGAAGAGAAAGGGCACACCAAAACCAAAGACATCAATGCGTATTTTAAAAGTCAAGGATGACAATCCCATTTACCGCCGCCATATTTGATGCCAATGGCCCAGGGCCACAGACCTAGAGCCAGAAGGGTTTAATCAATCAACCAACAGGTATTAAGCACCTACTATGTGCCCAGTACTGTACTGGGCGCTGGGGATCCCAAAGAAGAGGCAAAAGAGAGACCCTGCCCTCAAGGAGCTTACAATCTAACAGTCAGAAAACATGCAAACACGGCTAAAAACAAGCTATCTACAGGGGAAATAATCAACAGAGGGATGTCCCTGGAACGAAAAGGCCCTAAGGGAAGGCTTCCTGTAGAAGGCGGCATCTTAGCTGGCACTCAGAGGAAGCCGGCGAGGTCAGCGGTCAGAGCAGAGGAGGGAGAGCCTTCAGGCCTGGTGGTGGCCCGAGAGAACGGCCGGAGCCCAGCCATGGAGCTTCTCCTGCCTAAGTGAAATAATCCACCCCTGTGTTTTACAGACAGAGAAACTGAGGCCCAAGGGGAGAGAGGAAGTGACTCACACAGGGAGGAGGGAGCCAAGCCCCAACCTGGACTGATAATTAGTAATGATAATGACAGTAAGGACAGGCAGCATTTACACGGCGCTTAAAAGTTCACAAAACGCTGTACCAGCATTGTCATAGCCTTGGGAGGGGGTGCTCCTATTATCATCCCCATTGGACAGATGAAGAAACTGAGGCAGGCGCCTACTGAGTGCGAGGCGCTAGGGCACAAAGGCAAAAACGAAGCCATCCCTGCTCTGCCGGAGCTCATGCTGCAGACAGGGAGAGCTCGGCTCACAGCCTCATTTCCCCTGGCTGCGCCACTCTGGGACTTCTGCCAGACTTCTCCCCCATTAGAATGTAAGCCCTCTGAGGGTAGGCATTGGCTTTCCTTTTTCTTATTTGTATCCCCAGTGCCTGGTACATAGTAAGGTGCTTAATAAATGTTCACTGACTAAGCCTTTATTGAGCACCTGCTGTGTCCCAGGCTACGCTGCCTCCTGGTAAATACTGAGTAATCTGAAGGAAAGGGGAGGGGCCAGGAAGGGCCCCTCGTGGGATGTGGCTCTGGAGCCCAGCCGAGAAGGGAGTGAAGGATCTCGATGAAAAGGGGGAGGCTGGGGGCGGCCAGAGCCAAGGGAACAGAGCGCGGGCACCAGGACAAGTAAGCCGCCCCAGCTGGATCACAGAGTGCAGGAAACGGCGTGAGGAGAACTCCGGCCGGCCGGACGGCAGGAGAAAGGTTTGGCCGATCAAACTCCAGGCCGCTGGCAAACGTGCAGGCTGGCAACTCCGGCAACCGAGGCGAGAGGTCTGGGCACCGGGGGGGAGGCCCACTGCCGCTGAGCCGGACCCATCCCCGAACAGCCCAGAGCCCGTACGCGCCACGCTGGAACACGACCAAGGCCAAGGGCAAGGGCTGGGGCTCCGCAGTGGATGCGCTCACCTCACTGAGGCAGGCGGGGCACGGTGAGTACAGCGCTGACCTGAGTTCGAAACCAGCCTCAGACCTTTCCTAGCGGTGTGACCCTGGGCAAGTCACTTTACCGCTACCACCTGCGTCAGTTTCCTCAACTGTAAAACGAGGATCCTAATAAGACCAACCCCTCTGGGTTGTAGTGATGATCAGACACGTAGTGCATTTAGCACAGCATCCGACACACAGCAGGTGTTTTACCAATGCTACTTATTACGACTGTTGTTGTTACACCATCACCATCTGAGCCCGGTCGGGAACAATCTGGTCAATCCGGACAATGTCGACAAAGACGCGTCCGCAGTTCGGACCAGCGCTGGCCAGCTGACCTCTCGCCATCTGTCAGAGGACCCTGGGAGGTCTGCAGAGGGGAATCGGGCCGAGCGCTGACTGCCTTTGTCCCAGAGGACTTCCCAGGGACGCTCCCCAAGGTCAACAAAGGCCTCCCACCCGCCTTCCAAGGACACTACAGGGTTGTCAGGCCTCATTCCAGCCTGGAATCGCTGGTGGTAAGCAGAATTTTCAATGAGGGGACCAAGATGGAAACAATTAACGGGTGGGTGTATGCCTGGGAAGGGCGGGGCAGCCGGCTGCTCAATGAACCAGGATCCCTTGGGAGGTGGACGCAAGGCTCGGCCCGTGGGTCCACCAGGGATGGCGGCTGCTGATTCAGCAACATCTGGCACTGTGGGCCACGTTCTCCAGGCGAGGGGCTGGGAAACACAACACAGAAGCGGAAGGCCTTGCCGGGAAGGGGCCTGCTGTCCACTGAGGGGACATGAGAAAAGCCTGGGGAGGCAGAGGCCAAGACAGGTTTTCCAGAGAAACTGTGGTCCGGCAAGGAGAGCCCGCCCCCATGCAGGGGACGACAGTGCCGTCAGCTTTCACTGTAAAAGGCTAGTCAGGGTGGGGCGGAGGGCTGCAGGAGGCCAGGCAGGAGGCTGGCCGGCACCAGCTCTGCAGGAAAGCAGGGGACCGAGCCGCTCAGGGGCACCCACTGAGTGAAGGAGCAGGCCTGCTGGTGACTGGGGCACCCCTTCAGGATTCCGCTGAAGTCCAGGGTCAAGCAGGGGCTCCGGCCCCCTCGCACCGGGACTGAGAACTCGCTGGTCAGGGCAGGGGAGGCAACCCCAACTTCCTCTGCGGGTCCGTGGGTGAGTGTGCACGTGTCTGTGAAGGCTGGGCAGTCAGGAGCACACAGCGTCCACCTCCCTGAGGTAACAAGGGGCTCTGCCCTCTGCTCCCCGCCTGGAGCGCCCAGCTTGGACCGCAGCTTGCCTCTCGAGCCCCTCTGCTGGGCCGCGGGGCCGGCGCCCAGGACACCGTGTTCTCGGTCCGGTCCCACACGGTCGGGGGAAGCCGCATCCAGCGGGAACCAGCCGGGGAGAGCCGTCGCCTGCTTCTAAAGCCACCGCTATTGCAGCTGTTCAGGGAATGGGGCTTTAGTCCACGGCAAGAGCAGTCACTATGTCTATACATCACTGACTTTAGCCAGCCTGCTATTTAAGATACTTGGTCTAGAAATGAAGAGGGTCCCAGGAAACAGGAAGCGAGTCTTCAGCCCTGACCACTCACAGACGAGGTACTGACGGGATGGCCCTTCAGCATCAGGGTTCCCCGTCCAGGCAGGCTCACAGGGACGCTTCGCTGAGGCGCAGGCCAACCTCGGACCTGGTTTCAAGTCCTGCTGTGTCTTATGACTGTATACAATGCGGTTTTTCCTTCCAGCCGATCCTCATGGGAAGATAAGGGGGTTGGCTCCTCGGGGCCATTCCAACTCACCCAAAACGTCTAATGAGCTTTCAAGTTAACGTGCATCTCATCAAATTGGCCTTTGTTTCATCGGCTGAGAATCTAGCTGTTTAATTTGCCATCTATGCACAACAGGAGGCTATGCAGACATCAAGGGCAATGTCCGTTTCCCACTTCCATACCTTTGTTCACACTGTGCCCCGTGCCAGGAACACCTTCACCTGCTGAATTCACCTCTTCCCCTAAAGCCCAATCAACTCCAATGGTACTTCCTCCAGGCAATCCTCCCAGATCCAGTCCCTCTGCTCCATCCCATTGCTAATGGCCTTCCTGCCCTCAGACTGCCCCCAGTTTTCTCTTCTTTATCCCTCCAGTGCACTTAGAATCGAATATCGGGTATCATAAGTCTCTGAGTTTGCAGCTTACCCCGAGAGATGGTGAGCCTCCTGAGGGCAGGGCCTGATCTTAGCCGGCCCTTTGTCTCTCCCCCATGCCTGCACAGAGCACTCTGTCCTGGGTGGGCTGAATTGGCCAGCTTGACCCAATACAGGTTATTGTGGCAGACACAACAGCCCAGTGCCCTTCCGTTGCCTGGAAGCCATAGGAATGGAGACGTTTCCCATCGCTTCAGCCTTTGGGATGAGCCTCTTTGGCGATACCCCCCACCCTGACCGAGGAAAAGGGTGAGGGAGGGCCGAGAGCCCAGGCACCTTCTCAGAGGGCTCTGCCACCCACCAGCAGTGTGACGTCCTCGGCTAACCCACTGCCCTTTTGTGGGCCTCACTTTACTCCTATGTGCAATGGACCTAACCCCCTCTCCCCTCCTACACATCACAGGGGTGAGTGCAGATAAAATAAGACTGTAGGGTAAGTGGAGATGTTTTGCAAAACACTTTCCAAAAGCCAACTCAGTGTCCCCAAAGACAGGAGGATACGTGAAGACAACCACAGATGGACGGAGGAAAAACCCCAGCCTGAAACAGTAACAGCAACAGTTGAGAAAGCCTGGGCCTGATGAAAAATGCCACTCCAATTATTTTTTAATGAAAAGAGAATCCATTGTAAAATTAGAAAAACAAACTGGCCTCTTTCTCAGGGGAGGTCTTGGGAGGACTCTCACCGTGTGTCCCCTGGTAGGCCTCCCCAGTGAGGGGCTGCTCCCTGTCCCCCAAACAAGGCCTCAGAAGGAGCCGGCCCCTGGACCACTCATGTGAATATACTTCAAGGTCCAGGGAGCCACAGCTGGAAGGGCCTCGGAGATCACGTGGGCCCACAAGGGGAAACCGAGGCCAGGGACCTGCCT